ACGAGCATAGTGACCACCTTCACCACATTTGTAGCATAAACGAGGTGATCCAAAATCATTGGTTTCCCCACCACGCAAACTTACGCATGCCTGCATGTACAGAATTCCCTTTCTTGAAAGAAGGAAAAAAAGAAAGGTAGACTATTTTGGCAAAATGGAAGCAAAATGATAGAATGCGTATGCTATTTTGGACACATAAGAAACTACAGCTTTTTATAACAGAATATTATATTTAGATGGTCAAAAGATGTTGAAAAAGAAAAATATGACCAGGTAACATCAAACCTCCCAAGCAATCAGAAGATAATATATAAGTTATAACGAGGTTTATCTTACATGTCCATATCTCTAACCGAATGGCTGAAAAACAGGTCCTTATCTAAGAACCATCTTTAAAAATCTCTGTATGCATAGGCATATGCATGTATGCACAAATGCACAAACACACAAACACATAACATGAATTCCACTTGTAAATCATCAACAATATAGGCAATATGAACATATCAAAGCAAATCCCAATAGCTCAAATGTTCATTTTAGCACTGTTTGATTGGATAATATCCCCAGCCCCATTTCAAAACGGTAGGCCTTGCTTGCATATATCCAGTTGCTAATGCACCTCCCCACCCCACCCCTAAAAACAAGCAACAAGACTTACCATACCAGTATGTCCCAATTGACCACATCTGTAACAAGAAACTTCCTGGGGACTAGTATCAACATACTTGACACAACATAAATGGCCAAATCTCTTGCAAACATAGCATTGGATTTCCTGATTCAGGAAAAGAAATTTAGAAAGGGCTCTTGAACATAATTCCAAACAATATCTCATTAATATGATATAAAAATCATACAGAAAATAGACTTAAAAGTCACAAAAATACCTTAAGATCCTCAGTTAAATAATCATTCCTGCATGAGAACATATCATGCCCAGAATCTCCACATTTTAGACATATTTGGGATTTCAATGAACCCCTCTTCTGCTTTTCTGGACAATCTTTAGCATAGTGTCCACCTTTTTTGCAAATAAAGCAATCTTGTCCCTGTAAAGATTTAAGGCAGGGACAATAAGAGACCAAATGAACATGAACCATCTTCTAGAGCTTCCAATAAGAACATTGCAATCAAGATGAAGAAACAGGAATTATTGAGGAACCTATCTTTGTACAATGCCATACAAGCACTGTGGCGTACAGGAACTGGTGAACAATTCATCATGTTTGTAATAGCACTAACTTAACATTATATAGCATACGCATAAAACAGGAAAATAAGATCCTTGGTTTTGTTTTTTGATATTTTTTTATCAAAAGATGATCTAAGAAACAGAAGAGAGCATGTGTACATACAAGAAAAGTCAACAACCTAAATCGACAAGAGCAACATCTAGCCAATCCTTCCCAGAAATTAAGAGACATAGAGCAATTGAATATTAAATTGCACAACCAAAAGAAAATTGTTAACTAACCTTTCTGCAGTCTCTGGCATGGTGTTCCAAACTGCCACAAACAAAGCATGGTTTCTTCCTCTTAGCTACGGTGCAATTCACTGCTGCATGACCTTCTTCGCCACAGTTAAAGCATGTTCCCCAGCTACTATTTGGAGGATCAAAATACCTTGGTCCCCGCTGATAGAACAGAAATAAGATAGGTACCAAGCTAAGGTCTTCATAAGGATTTTCATTTTCAATAGGGCATTTCAAAGCAAATAGTTGAACTCACAAGAAGTTTTCGCAGCACAACATTGTCGCTAATCTCAACATTATTCAGTTGCTCAGCCTCAGCCAAATCTACAGCATTAGCTACCTCTATCTTCTCTTCCTCGTTAGCAACCACCTAAACCAATAATGGGATGCAAAACAGTCAGACATAAGAAACAAGGTTATCAGCTCTTTCATCCTCTTCTACAACAAAGAAAAGCCAGAAAATCAGACTAACATTTCTTCCTACAGACATCTACATAAACAGTCTAATCAGGAAATTCAATTTTGACATCATAAGGTCCAGTTTCAAAACA